GGCTCAGGAAAAGATTTCCATCCAAGCAGGCACAACCATGTACTACTGGGTGCCTAGTCTTCGTTGAAGATCCGAGGGAAAAGGGCTAAGAAGGGTAGTGGGGCCCTATGCGTCTTGTCAAAACTAAAGGCTCTGGTATGCGGACAAGTGGGTGCAGCCTTTGCCACTTGCAATGCACTTACGCCAGGTTGAGTCAGTTTTGCGCGGTGTGTTTGCGTTCGTGTGATGTCGTCATTCATTCGCCGGTTTGTGTCATATCGCTTGGTGCAAACATTACCAGCTTGGCTAGACTGCTAAACAGGTTGTGATACTGAGTCCTTCTTCATTAGCGGTAGTGTGTATGCTCAGATCTCGGGGGCAGGGTCGTGAACCGTGGTACACCTTGTGATCATGCAATCCCATTCAGGTGGTGTGCTTGTTCACTTCTTCCTGACGGTAAACAGGAAGCACGACACATGTCCGACCGTACAAGGGTCAGTTGGTTGGTCCCAGCCTGTTCACCTGCAGGCTTTTGCAGTTGTCCGTTGCAACAGGGTCGACAAAATGTCGTGTCCATCTTCTTGGAACAATGTGCCAACGACTTTACTGCCAGCTGCTGTTTGCTCTGTTCCTCTCGCAGTGATCTTGCAAACTTCTGGTCTGGCGAGCATGCCTTGCATCAGGCTGCAACCACGACGTCTACGGCTCTGGCTGCTGGGATGGCAAGACCCGGACACTGGTTTCGCAATATCTAATCAAGTCCATGCTTTCCTACTCGTGTCGAGAGGTTGAATTGCCTCGGGATGTTTTCGTTCGAGTACATGTCGTGATGTGGTATCAATAGCTGGGCTCTAGCCTTTTGGAAGCAAGTTCTGGGTGCACCGAGAGATGACTTTTACGACGCTCGGCATAGCACGTTGAGGGCAGGCTAAAACAAGTCCTCGACACGTCGGTTGCAAGCGCCGAATCAGTGCGGTCTCGAGCGTCGGGGTGTCCTCCATGATCGCACTTAGTCACAAGATCCTGTATAACTCCGCCGAGAAAATACACGACACATCAGTATGGGCTTCAGCTGGAGGGCCTGCCGCGATGGATTCGGCAGGTTTTGGCTGACTCGCATGATTCTAAGTGCTGGGGACTCCGGTACATCGGGCAAAGGTGAAGTACGGCATCCCCAACAACTGGCTTAATTTCTTCATCGCTGGAGCCTTGGGCCATGTCGTCACACGCACAATGTCTCCATTCCTTTCGGCTGAGTGAAGTTTGCAAGCAGGCACTTGAGTTTTGCTGTTCCGCTGCGGTGATCTATGTTCCCAGCCTGCAGCACCACGGCCTCAGACGGGCTTTTTCACAGCTGGCACGTTAGCTGGATTGAGCATGGCTCGTTGCCTTCCACATCCGGTGAGGCACGCTTTCGGCATGAGAGCACTTTCGAAGCAGCAGCTTGTCATCGGGTCGATGGCCCTGCCATTTGGCTACAATTGCCAATGTCAGCAATTGCAGCTCAGTAGCAGCCATTTATCTGATTCTTGCTCGTTCTTTCAGGTTTCTGATTGTGTTTCTCGACGAGCTCCGCAAAACGTGGGTCAGGAGCCGGGCCGGGCATTTTTGGGATCAGGATTTGGCTTGGCAAATCCATTTCACCATTCGCCAGATTGTATCACGACCATCGCTGTTGCACTCGAGTCTTTCGGGCTGCTTTCTGTGATTGGCCGGGGGCCTTCTTGGTTGATGGTGCTATGCTACGCAGCCGCTACGTAGCCGCTCTGTGCTGTGCGAATGAGTTTCATGTTTTGCTTCGGAATCGGAACTCCAAGAGGAGTGATACGGCTTCCCAGCAAGAGCCGAAGATGCCCCTGCAGACGGCCCGGCCTCGGCTTCATAGCAGGCGGAGATTTGCGCATCCTGGGACTGCAGAGTCTGCAGGTAAAGGAGAAGCGAGAGCAGCGAGAGCATGGTGACACAGCCCCAGCTTCCGAAGCAATACCCGACATTGGTGGCTCCGTGCCGATCTCAGCCTGGAAACCTCTACTGCATCTCTGTAGTTCAATTGGGCGTCTACCCTGTGATGCACAGAGGCTTAGAAGATGTCCTGCGAGCCCATTGCAGTCTTCGTGGCAGGATGTCCGTGGAAGCGGAAAGCCTGCCACTTTTCTTTTGCTTTGCGGCATCACGAAGTGAGTGTCCAATTCAGGATTGTGCTGCATAGCTGCAAGAACTGGGGAGGCAAAAGCAAGCATGACTTTCAATTGGAATTCCGTTTCAGCGCGCACGACATGCCGGCATGTACATCTCTGGCAGCCTTTGCTTGCTTGTCAGCAGCGGTGCTCTTAGAAGTTGGCCTCTCCGCTGATTGTCATCATCGCTCGTAGGCCAGGGTGCGGCGAAGTTGTCGGGGGGAGACATACCCGCGCATGTGGCAAGGCGCAATGACCGCCGTCCGCCGATGTGTTCGCATGCTCTGCCTGCTGGCTCTTCTATCAGGCTGGCGGGCGGGTGGAGGGGCACTTGTACGGGCATCCGATGCTGTAGGTGCGAAGTCGTTTCGCTACGTTTGTCGAAGGTGCTTGGCACCTGACATCTGCAGCCTTCAGTTCCGCAGCACAGACGAGGAGCAGAGACTCGGGAGCTTGGGCTGATGGCGCAAAATCTCCTTCTAAATCTTCTGCCACACCATGAGTGCAGAACTCGGTCGCAGAGCAAGGCATGCGCAGTGCCTTTTCCTAGTCCCAGTCATTCAGTTCTTCAGGCAGCTTTCAGAGCCGATAGCAGCATTCACTGCGGTCTGCAGCCATCTGTGCGAGGATGTTCACGTTCTTTAAAGATTTGCAGGATGTCGCGTAGGGCCTACGAATCCGGGAAAGCCAACGTCGGCGCCGAGATCTCCGACACAGATGCTTGGGCCTCTGAGACCAAAGGGTGTGGACCGAGATGGTGAGAAGGCATGTTTTTGTTCTAAGACGGTGCTCCACGGAGAAGTCTTGCTTTCGAAAGATTCGACAGGTGCAACCGCCCCCACCGCCTGTCCTGGAATGTGACGAGGGATGCATGACAGCTATCTTTGACTGCATTGAAGAAGGCTGCTCTGTCGATGCGCCGCTTGCAAGCACCAAAAAGCTTTTCCTGTAATTTGCGTGCCCGCGTGACAGAACGTGGCTGTTGCACATTGCGAGGTTGCTCAAGCTGGATCAAAAGTTGGCAGACGACGAGCAACGAATCGCCGACACAGTGAAGGAGCTTGAGGGTGTGCAGAAGACCGTACCTCGAAGCAAGCACAGCAACCCGCTTCATTGACTTGCCCTTGAATGCTTGCGCTACGCCAAGGCATACTCGCCAGAAAATGCAGGCTTGAGACGAGAAGCGCAGAGCTCGGCGCAATTTGCTTCCCTCTCTTCGCAGGCACACTTGCCTGGCTCAACAACTTCCTGAGCCGCAGTGGCAGCTTGCGCGGACAGCTGCAGGCACTTCAGGGAGTCAAGGACCGCAGTCGAAATCTGGCATTCCCATGGTTCAGTTAAGATATGTTCAGTTCGTGGCTGGACTGGACTCGGACACAAACCTGGCCCAATGTCGCAAATGTTGATCAGGCTCGTGGGACCCGGTAGCCTCAGCTTACGCTCGGACGGATTCTGTTTCAAGTCTCCGGCCATGTTTCTTGTAACAGCCTCGTGCCTGCTTGGCACCTTTCCTGCATATCCCAGCAGTCATGGCAGGCCACGCGCGACGTCTCTGCGTTAAGCCAGAGACAGAGAGAGCATCGGAGGGCGTTCCCGAACCCGAATCGCACAACAATCCCAAGGACATTCCTAGGAGGACCATATCGTTTGGCATGCAGCAGCATGGCCTTGCTTGAAGAGCAGGACTCGAACTTTGTTCAGCAAATCGTCAAGGCGGCATCGGTCGCTTTTGGCGGTGGCCGGCCCAATGACTACCCCAAGGCACAACCGGACTTGACAGCTCAGAAGCAGTGAGAAGTCGGGCTTTCACAGGACAGTGGATGTTGGGGGATGCACGGGCCTGACCAGGTTGGTGTGTCTCCGTACTCCTCCTGAACTTGCGGCGGTCGTAGGCAGCAACAAGTGGCACAGCGACACATCTCTTGCAGGACTCCTGCTAGTTCCAGATTGGTAGGGGCGGGCAATTGGCCAAAGGGCTGGCTTTGGTCACTTTGCTTGGAACCAGTTCTTGTGAAATTTTGACCTTTGCAGAAGCACAAAGGTTCTTTCCGAGAAGAGTTTTGCTGAATGACGTTTATATAGACATTTCGGTGTTTGCATTGCAGCTTCAAAAGGCTCGTGCTAGTTGCACGCTGGGAAAGTGGAGTTTCCGAAGGGACGCCTATGTCCGGACCATGCGATGCTGCTACAAATCAGCTCCCGCATTGGTCAGGCTGTTGGGCCGAGAGGCCCAGTGTTCACAGTCGGGCATCACGCAGTTTACAGGCAGAGTTGCCTGAGCTTTGGGAAACTTCAGATCTCTGGTTTCTCGTAGAGAAAGCGACAACTCTTAAACTTTGAGCACAATTGCTAGGATGTTTGGAGTATCGTATTTGTCTTTAATGTTCTTGTGGTGGAGAGCATTCCGGGTCACTAGCGACATAGCTTGGCTTGGGTGCACATAGGATCATCAAGCACTAATTACACAAGGCTAGCGGCTAGCACATGCAAAGATGACGACTATGCAAGCTGCCATTTTCGACAAGACAATCAATCGGTAGTGTGGCAGAATCTTGTGCACTTCCTTGGTTACCTCGACCCTCAACCAGCATCCCTCTGCTACATCCTCCAGCCAATCATGCTACTCCTTGCAGCATCTGAGTAATGTAAGGATCACGCAAAACGGCGGCAGTAAGAGCAAGATTATCCGGACGAAGAACACGACGAGGAGTTCTTCAAAAATATTCTCGATCCACTAATCTTGGCGTTCTTGGCTCAAACAAACCCCTGGATCCAACATCGATTGCAGGAGAGTGGATATGTGTAGATGTGAGGCTCAAATTGAACGCAAACCTGCATCTCGACATGGACATCTTCACGAAACCACCCCGTGACTGGGGCGATGCATTCGAGCTGCTGCGCGTCGCCCAGCGCCTGAGACCAAGCACGATTTGCTTTCAGCACAACTTGCTCCTTGCTTCTCTGGCTACTTCTCGGAGCTGGAATGTGGCGGCTGCCATCTGTGCCAGAATCCGGCGTCAAGGCAATGCGGACATGGTGACATTTAACTCTCTGTTGAGAGCGTGCTGCGCTTCATGGACTCTGGTCCTTAGCATCCTGCAGCTGTCGGCCTCCATGGGGTTGCGCAGCGATCCCGTCACTCAGAGCACGATCCTTGGATCGTGCAGCATTTCGGCATGGCGTCACGGAGAGTTGTTGTTGTCCAGTGCAATCCGTCAGCGACTGCAAAGCAACGTTATCTGCGAGAGTGCACGTATTCGAGGCAGCTCCCACTGGAGAAGTGTCTTGACAATACATGCGAGAATGCACATGGCGTACATTCAGACCGACCAGATCAACATAAACTCCGTGGTCACTTCGTGTGGTGGGGCGTGGCTCCAAGCGCAGAGTTTGCTTTCCAGCACTACCTTGAGAGGGGATCGGGAGACACACAATGCTGTTGCACGTGTGTTTGGTAAGGCCACTGTGTGGGAACGGTCTCTCTGTTGTTTGAACCATGCCCTCTCGAAGTCGTTGCGCTTGGACGCTTACTCTGCTACGTCGCTCCTCACACAGCGCGCCGCCAGTTCCTGCCGAACACATGTGCTACAGTGGAAAGTGCCTTTGTTGGTATTCTCTGACTTGGTGCGCTGTGGGCTAGTATCGAACCTGATTTCCTGGAGTGCAGCCGTCAGTTTCAGTGAGCCAGCTGGATGGAGGAGGTGCCTGGACCACTTTCTACAAGGATGCCAAGCTCGCCAGCTCCGCAACTCGGTTGTCGAGATCAGTGTTGCGGCCTCTGTGGAAGCGCACTGGCGGCAAGCCCTAAGTTTTTGCAGACATGCGGTACCGAACGCAGAAACTTGGACTTGCTTGGCTCGAGCGTGCGCACAGTCTGCGTGGAACATGGCTTTGTTGTTGCATTCGGCTTTGGCTTGCAATAGTGCGGAGGTGGACCGAGTCTACTGCAACGCTTTGATAGCCTCTGCGAGCCCAACAAGTTGGCAACTACGGCTAGCGTTGCTTGAGATGACGGGCGGTACCGTCACGCGACCTGATCACCATGCGTATGGTTCTTTGACAGCTGGGGCAGAAGCTGGCGAGTGGTGCGAAGCCATGGAGCTTCTGCAGCTCGCTGCAGGCAGAGGTTTGCTGCTGAATGCGGTCATGATCTCTTCACTTCAGGTGGCCTGCCTGCGCGGCATGAATTGGAAGCAACCGATCGCTATGATGATGCAAGCCCAAGCGGTCAAAGCGGACGAAAACCCTGTAGTATGTGCGACCGCGATTGGTGCATGCGGCAAATGCGGCAAGTGGAGACAGCAGCTGGCCTTGCTCTCTGACTTGACATTAGCCCGTCTGCAAACTGATGAGACGCTGTATGCCGATTTTAGTCACTTGGAAACAAGATCTTGGCGCACTGCACTTGTCGCCGCAAAAATGTGGCAAGCAAAATTCCCGATGGATGATTCACTGAGCACAATTTGTACGGCATGTTCCACGAGCAGCAGCTGGGAGCTCATGGTTTTCTTGATCGAGAAAGCACCTGGTTCGGGCTTTTTCAGATCCCGTGCTTCCGTGCTGCGGGAAAGCCACATCATTCAGAATCCCCGCGTGCTCCTTCACATGCTCGACAGAGCATGTGAAGAGTGCTTGGCGTTGTTTCGAAAGGTTGCGCTTGCAGGATTGTTGGGGGCAGGCAAAGTCGAACACCAACTAGTCAAGTAATTCAAGCTCCGCCTAATCGATGATTCGTACGCATGCCTAAGTTGTTCTTTCCGTAGAGGTCCTGTGTTTGGCAGGCCGCAGGTAGAAGTGTTCTTTTGTTTGTGCATGGGGGTTCCGGCCATTCCCCTGACGCATGGGACCTTGCCCTACTCCCATGCGCCTCGTCTTCAGGCAGCATGTTCGGTTACCTAAGCGCAGTGCACTTGGTGCCAAAAAGTGGTGGACGTGCTAGAAGCTGTATTCTGTCAGACTCCTTCCCTGACTAGCAGGTTCGACCTAGCCTAGCATGTGCGCCCCTCCTTACATATTCCGCAAGTTTGCCGGGTTCCCGATAAATTCGGTCGGAATGGTTTCCCTCCAGATGACTGCGGTTGTTCAGTCTCTTCAGCTTCGCACACATGAGTCTAACTGCAGGGACTTAACATGCAAGCAACAGCACCTCCAAACATGAGGCTGCACAAGCCGACATTGTTAAACCTTACTCCTACGTGAAGCGTGGTGAGCAAGTGAACAAGCTAAACAGCAAACAGTGAGATGAAGAGGGCTGAAGGAGTCGAGACGGTGAACTGAAGGTGTGATGCAAAAACCGTGGAGGAATGGAATCCTGGCTAACAGCCAAGCAAGTTTCGAACGGCAACAAGCAAAGGAGTATCAGAAAGCCTGCAGACAAACACAGAACCACGGTAACGCTGAGGATGAGATGAAAAGGGTCGAGTGAGTCGAGACGGAATGGGTGGTAACGAACAAAACATGGAGTGATGGCACAAAAGGAGTCAACATCCAGACAACTTTGAAGCAGCAACTGCTCATCATCCGACGACTTGCAGGTCTAAGGTTTAGTGTATCCTATGATTCTACTTGAGGCGTGAGAGCAAGCGCAGCCACCCTTATCCTCTTCTTTGCACCGTTGCTTCCGCATCTGGTGTCATCTGTTGTTCGGTCGGCAAGTATCGGAGTTCGCAGGTCAGAGCCGCAGCCTCCCCACGAAGCTTTTCATTTTAGGTTGCTGCCAGCCTGTCAGCCCTCACAAGTTCGGCGTGTCGAAGAACATACGCATTGCTGGTCACAAGTTTGGCATGTAGACGATGTTCAAAGCAGGCGCATAAGTGGACACTATCCTGATTTCTCCCAGAATTTTGTTTAGCAGAGTATTTTGGAGTTGCTGCGCTCATCCCATCCTTCTGGCTACAAAGGCTTCTGCATAATGCTGGAGCCTCACGACTGTCGCTACGACCCCTCCCGCAAGCAAAACAGTAAACACTTCCCCCCGACAGCGAAGGAAACAACAGGCAGCAACAGCAAACAAAAGCAACACCCTCCTCCGCCCCGCGGGAAGAACAAAAAAGCACAGCAAGACAAAAGCGCTTACCGAACCGCACCGCCCAACATATGTACACTCCTGCAAGACGGTGTAGCTTCGTGCTGATGCTGGCTTCCATTCCACAATCATGAGAGTTGTTTGTGCGCGCAATGTCCGTGGCGATTTTTGGTTCAGATTGGGAATGAGTTTTCCCAATTATCTGGCGGAGGTTGGAGCTCCGTAGTGTGTGCGGCTCAGTATACGATTCAGGTTTCAACAGTTCGGTTTCCAGTCACCAGACCGAGCAGAGCCTTGCTTGGCAAGGATTGTCAGAAAGGCTGACGACACAATGAGTAGTCAGCGCAGCATCCTTACGAAGCCATCTTGACCGACATGTCCAGAAGTGCTGCGGAGTCCGTGGCCGGTAAGTGTGTGATGCGGAGTGCCACTGCTCGCAGCCGGCTTTGAGTTTATTGTTATAGCGCATGTGTTTTCGAGCGGCCAAGGCAACCAGAAAGCAGACCGCCGCAGACGAAGCGGAGGAGCAGGTCGATTTACCTATGAAGATATCGGCAAGCGCTCATGTCCTTCCCTGAATGCCCCTACCGCTGTCCATAACATTATTTCTTTTCTGATCCCCGTGACACGGTGCAAGCTTCAGCTTCGATTCTGTGATTTGGTTGGAGCAGCTGATCGGGCGCATTGGGACCTGACGCTGCAACATGCAGGTCTGGCAAAACTGAAAGTATTGGGAAGCAACGGGGGAACCACAGCAAGATCGCAATGACAATGACTTGGGCCGGAACTGCCCCACTTTGGGCGAGAGATACTCTGGCCTCGTGTGGAGCAGCGTGCTTACCAAATGAGCCGGGGTCGACTTGCACAATGCATGTCTACCCAAAACAAGAGTTCGACTTCGCACGTGCCCTGCTACTTACGGACTACGCCGTCGGGAACGTCAGCATCTGTAAGACAGACAGGACATCCAGAAGGTCAATCAGCCGGCGCAGTCCATAAAGCAGTGGGAGCAGAGGTTAGCGGTTAGCAGTTGTTGTTCGGCCAACAGCTGTCTTTGAAAGTGTTGAGACTCTGTCGTGGAACGTAAGCCGTCTCTGGCTGCAGGAGAGATGCTTCAAAACCCTGTGCGAAGCTACAACGAGGCAATTTCGTCTTCTATGTTTCAGTATCTACCCTGTTTTGCCAACCTGCCTCCATTTGCCTCCTGACGTAGGTGGATGCACCCACAACTCCTTGCAGGGGGTCTCCGCAGCAAAAGGCCTTGTATATGTCCCACCGATTGTGCACATTCGTGATGTCGTGTGCTTCATTCCACCAGGCTCTTGTCGGAAGCCCCTCGTTGGAGCCCTATTGGTCAACTTGTTTCAGATATTGCAGCTTACTTCATGTTTGAGGAACTGACCGGACTAGGCCTGAGACTTTGTGCCCACAGCCTCGACGGCCTTTTCCGAACGCTGCTGCACCATCGCTTGTGCCTCAGCAGGCTAGGTGTCATGGAGAGATGCTGAAATATGCTTCTCCTTGTCGTGAGGTTGGAACAGTGCGGAGCCCAGCATGGATCGCTTTTTTTGCTGCTGCAAGGGATGAAAGCCTGCGAGGCTTGCCGGCATGCCAGGAACCGAAGAGGCAGCCTGCAGCAAGGCCATGTCAGGATAAGATAAAGCTTTTTCCATTTGCACATTGGCAGAAGTACTTGTCTACAAGTGACCTCGCATGCATTTGCCACTTTCGTTGGACGTCGCGGTAAGTATGTAACGTGCATGACATCTAGTGATCGAGCGAAGAGGAAAACGGAAAACAACGGACGAATTCAGGAAAACAAGTTCGGAAACCAAGGAGGGCGATGTGGGGAAACAGCCGGACAGAATCACACAGCCAGAATCAGAAAACAGCACGACGAAATCAGAAAACATAACAGAAGCGGAAAACAAGAATCAGAAAGCAGGAGAGAGAAAATCAGAAAAATGGGCGCTACCACCGTGCTGTTTTGCCCACAAACCGGGGAGGTGAAGGAAGGCCGCGCTCCTTTCACGCCTCTGTTTCGGGCCACAAATAGACGTGAAGGAAGGCCGCGGTCCTTTCAGACCTCCTTTCACCCCTTTTGTTTTTGCCAAAAATCGAGAGGTGAAGGAAGGCCGCGGTCTTCTGTTTTGACCACAAACCGAGAGGTGAAGGAAGGCCGCGCTCCTTTCATCCCCTCGTTTTTGGCCACAAACCAGGAGGTGAAGGAAGGCCGCGGTCCTTTCACCCCTCGGTTTTGGCCGCAAACCGAGCAAGCAGAGCGGCGCTTCTGTACAGAAGTGGGGTCTCCCGTTGTCCGATTTTTCTTTTCTGATTTGGTCCGGTGTTTTCCGATATCGTCCGATCCGTTTTCGAATTTGCTTTCTGATATCGTCCATACCATCTAGTGATCGGCACACGACGGCCTGCTGCCCAGTCAGGTGTGTGGCAGCCTTGAAAGCCTCGCTCTGACTCTCACCAATGCTCCTGCTAGTCTGGTCCCGCTCCCTTTCCATTGCCGTGCTTCCTCGATCTCCACTCGCCCGGGCAGCTTTGAGACTCTGACCGTCTTTTGAAAAGAATGACCACCATCTTTCGCAGCATGATGTCCTCGCGTCATCACTAGAGAAGCTTCTGGCCAGGGACGCACGCGCTGATTTGACGTGATCAAGTGTCCTTGGTGTCTTGACTTTTCGGAGCTTGGCTGTGCCAGTCCCAACTTCCTCCTAGCAGGGCATGCAGGCCGCGCCAGCGATAGAAGATACGGTGAGCTGGATTTCGTACTGTCACTGTCCTCAAAGACCTCAAATAGCAGCGTTGACGCATCTGCGACGATTTGTCACCATTGCCTGTGACAGCACGTTTCTGGTAACATACGGGTCTGATTATGCCCATGCGAATCTGCGCAGGTGTTTCAGTAGTGGGCGGTTGGACAGACAAGGTAGGAGCGTCCTGCTTGGACCAGTTGCCATTGTCGAAGGAGTTGAAAGATCTATGGAGCAGCACATCGTGGAAGCTTTCGGCAGGCGGTCTACAGCTGGTTCGGGATGTGATACTTAGATTGACTTACGTTTTGGAGGTGCGGCAACCCCCGGACGTCTACCCTGGGAGTTTCTGGCTCAAGCTGCGAGGTCGAGTATCTTCGTTAGCTGTGCTTATGCTTCTGCCTTCCAAGGAACAGACCCCTGAGCGCCGTCAGCACAAATGCAGGTGCAACCCCAAGCTTGGACGACCAATGCCTGGAGCTTAGCCCTGCAGAGAGTCGTGGCAGTCGAGTTGGCGTCACTAGTGGATCTGTCCAAGGTCGCCTGCAGTGGTTTGGCCGTGCTTAGAGGCCAGGATCGGAGACCCAACTAAGCTCTCTTAGTCGCCAGGTTCAGCCCGGCTCCATCTTCTGCTGCTCCGACACCGTCCCAGGCTAATAAGCTATGGAACTCAAAGCCCGTGTTTTGCCATTTCCGTGTGTATGCAGGACTTTGAGCGGTACCGGGCAATCCCACCTTCTCAGGCTGACTCCCTCCCGCCCCAAATCTGTGCGCTCGTGTTTGTGATCGAACTTGTGCCAGGTGCGAAAGGTTTTTGTGGGTGGCATCCCGCAAGATTTCACGCAAGATGATTTATGCGTCAACGACTTACTGGTGCAGATGCACGTGGGACAGCAGACCAGCCTGCGGTGTGAACCAGAGCAGGAACTGTTCAGCCAGTTCGGGGCGGTGACGAAGGCGATTTTTTTGCGCAGGGAGGACAAGCTTGTGCTGAGTTTTGAATTCTCAATCCGTGAAGGCTTGGCTGCAGCGTCACCGCCAAAATGACAACGACTTTGGACATGTGCGGGCCTTTCTGTGGAGCATGACGTAACATTCCAGTACAACATGTCTGGGCCTAGGCATCTGCGCAGCGTTCGCCCAGCCATCGCGGCTTTGGATTCGTCATATTCCAAGATGCCAGCATGGACGAGCTCTCAGATGTGCTTTTGACCTGATATGTTGATGCATCCTGTGGGTCCTGTATCCAGCATGGCCGTCAGGTCGATGAACTTCTTGGTGCAGAATCTTCTTGCTACTTGGAAATCAAGGTACGGCGATGTCACGGTGTTCGATGTTCTGCCGCAGCTCAGTTTAGCACTGTCACTGTCAGGACGGGCGGCGAATTGAGGTGAAGCGTGCCAAAAGCAGCTAGGGCCCCACGCATTGAGGTGTCTAGAATTGCTCTTAGTCGACTCGGTCCTCGTATGATCGTCCAAATAAGCAGGCAACGACATCATCGGAGAGAGGCAGGCGCCGCATCCAGAAGCGTTGCACTCTCAAGGAGTGTTGGAAATTGCTGGACATGTGACATCACGATGTGTGCTTCGTTGATTTTGCGGCATTTAAGGTCGAAGCAGGCTTGGAGCCTGCAGCAGACCAGGTCTGGGTGCAAGCTTGCTTGCAGTTTGATTTCCGTCCTCCGCTGTGGTGAGTTCCGACTTGCTGCAGGAATGACCAACAACATGGGCTGCAGCCTTATTTGTGAACACTGCTGATGCCCCACCATCCTTCTGGGCAGCACGAGGTCCCAGCCGCAACCGGTGCAACGGCCAGTTCAGAGTTCCCAATTCGCCGTCTTCTCGGGGTTGTCTTCCGAGTGCGACGTCATTGACGAGACTAAAGTCAGGCGATCACTGGGGATCTTTGTTCGTGTGTGTTTGAGGTCCCATGTGCAAGCTTGACCTGCCACCGCCTAAGCTTGGTGCAATCTACCGACGCTGCGTAGGCTCTGGTCCAGACAGGTGGCACAGTTCCAGCTGGCGGCTGGTCGTGTTGTTCTCAGCTGATTATTTCGCCATATTTCGCCTGCTGGTGTTGGCATGTTTTTCTTGTGGTGAAAGGGCCTATCCCTTTATACATGTTCTCGCGATTAGTCGCTCGACATACAGGCAACCACTGGTTCCGGTCAACGACGCACGACGAAACAACAACAGGCTTTCAATCAAGAATGCTAAATTTCCCGAAAGGGCATCCAGCGAGAGAATGCGCACAAGATTGGCTTGTGGCATTGTCTTCTCATGCTGACGTGCTTGAGTCATGAGCGCATGGATGGACATGGACATCCGAGGAATCGCAACTGTTCGATCACGGCTGTCACCAACTTGTCAGCCGAGCACGGCGAAGCTCACACTGTACTGCTTAATTAGCCTCTTGAAGGCACCCGAGGGTTCGCACCAAACCCTTCGCAACATTCTGGTCCCGATGTGTATGCCTCGTGTTAATGCCGAGCTGTCACGTGGTTGGCAATTCGGCTCTCCCCCCGCTTGTTTGGACATCACCAGAGATTGACCCATTCCGATATCTTGAGGCCCATGGTTTGGACGGGCTCTGTGGCAACAGGCACGGTACCGCCGGCCTGGGGAGGGAACAACCAGGCCTGGCACGGGAGTGATGCTGGTGGCACATTTGTGGTCCTCTCTTGTCAGCATCTGACTCAGGCTGTGCCTGTCGACACTGTGCAGAGCTCACGCAACTCACAAGCATGGCCGCAGCGCGCAGAGCCTGCACCGACAGTGCGAAATGCTCCCGCTGCACCGTCGCCACCTGAGCATACCTTTGGCAGCCCTCGGCCGCCTTGGCCAAGACTCTGCATTCGATCATCTGTCAGCAAGTGCAAAGAGAACACCGCCCAGGCAAATGATTTGCCAACAGGTGCCAGCCTGAATGAGCTGCAAACTGTTCAAGAACTATATACATGGCACACCAAGTCCCCAATGCTGTCATACACAACATGTGGCAAGGTGCCACCGTTCTCGTTTCCACATTGGGCCGGCTCCTCACAACAGCTTGGCGCAAGATCATACTGGCCACCACTTCCAAGTTTTCCTGTTTGCACTAGGCGGGCGGTGCGCAGTCGGAGGCTGCGTCGCGGTTGGTGCAGCCTGAGGACAGATGACGGATCATGTAGGGCCATGCCAGGAAGAGAAGCAGAAACTGGTGCAGCTGCTGCAAGCTGCTGCGTGCAAGTCTTAGAGTGTCTTGGACACAAGCAAACCCTTCTCAGATTCAGGGCAGACACAAGAAGCGACCTTTAGCTTCACGTAAATCCACCTTTGCAGCCTGATCCGTTCAGGCCAGCGTATTACGCGGATTGAAAAGGCCACAGGCTCGACCTTGCGCTTGTATTGCTTGTGACGTGCCAGGTAATTCTGCATGGGGTTGCGATTGAATCAGAGCCTTTTGTCTTGAACCCTCGGGAAATAAAGCTGCTACTTGAGAGACTCGCATGCCAGGTAAACCATAGAGGCTATGTCCGTTCTAGAAGTCTCGCCCTCGATGCTGCAGGTTTGTTGCGTTCATCACAAGTGTGGCTAGCAATGTGTCGACAGCTCGTGCTGCCCGAGCTTCCGGGTTTATTTACAGAGAATGTCGACGTTGGTAGTGTTTGTTGCGGTTTCCATCCTGGGGAATCCAGAGATTCATGTACAGTTGCGAGGTGAATCGCGCTGCCCCGCCTGCGCAGTTGAGGCAAGTGTCTCATGATGCAAGGAGCAGGGTACCTCGTCCACGATAGATGCAGACATGTGTCAGCATCCCATTGGTGCAGGCAGTGCTTCTATGCAGAGTTCCATAGTGATCGCAAAAGGCTGCATTCTCCCGGGCATTGGCCAGGCCTCTCTCTCTGAATTGGACGAGTTGTGATAAATCTAGATCTTGACCCATGATATGCAGACATGCACTGCTTGAACTTGCGGAACCTGTTTCTTCCGACCGTGCAGCACATGTTCCTCGAAGTTGATATTAGTTTGAGAAAGGAGATGCTTCAGTTCCATCTTGCATAGCGGGAGTTGTGAACCGCGGGGCGAAGACAATGTGAGGTCTTCAAATCATCTTGAAGATGATGAGCCTATCACACACTCGTGTAGCCGGCGAAGTTTGGTATTTCCAGAAAGCTTAGCCAAGGAGCCAGTAGTTTTCGCAACTCGTTGCTTCGGCCACTACTTCGCTGGCTTAGAGATCTTGCAGCTTTCGCTGCCAGTAATGCAGCCAAAATAGGTAGAGGCCGCTCAGATCAATCACTCATTGCATCACTTCAATCGGTGGCCCTCTGCTTCCCATGCAATATTTGCTGGTGAGATGGAATTGCAGCGCCGCTTGCCTGCATGGTAGCGGCCTGCGACCTTAGGCAAACCGGGGTACGAGAACAAGTCCTTGCCAACGGTTGGGCAGAGCACATGGTGTCGTGAAGCTATGTTGTCATTTCCTTGTGCCGGCTGCCTGGCGTTCTGCTGGTTCGATACCCTGAAACGGGAGTTCGCGGCAGCTCCCACACTTGGTTGTCCAAATGGCTGCCAGTGGATGCCAAACAGTTGCCAATGGAGCACTGTTAATGTGGACAAGCTTTGCTAAGCTTGACCCTCCAATTCTGCCAAGGACATTCTTCGCAGCTTTTCATCACAGTAACTGCTTCTGTGAGAGCGGCTGGTATTAAACAGCATGGATTGTCTTGATGCAGCACCTGGTATCTCCTGGTTGGGTTTGGGAACATACAAGAATTTGCCGCTTTTGCTTGCATGATCAGTTGCTCCATCACGACCTTTGGATCAGGAGCTTGCGCTCGCAGCTGTGTGGAAAAAAGTCTTGTCCTGCCACAAGCAAGTGGGAATGGAATGCACGCAAGCATGCGGCAGCCCTGGGTAGGCCTGACGAATATCAATTAAAATGTATCAACAAGCAATTAAGGAGATAGCAGCTATGGACAGCCACAAGGAAGACGGGAAGAAAATCCGAAAGCAAGCAGCACGTCACTACCTAATTACTTCAATCATGTGGGAATCACAGTTGGCAAGATCATGTGGCGCGCAAGCTAGTGTGGACTTGCACTTTACCAGGCTCTGTCTCGATGCAAGCTATTTATGGTGGCTGGAATCTGCAGGATCTTGTTTTGCGTCTACCAAGTTATGATTTACAGGGTGTTGTTCTTCGACAAGACATGTGAGAATAACACTTTGCAAAGGCTTCTCTTGAGGCAAGCTGCTCGAAAGCCAGCATTTAAAGGGTTTCGCTCTGTCTCTCATTGTTGTTCGATCCTTGGATTTAGGTATGGTCTGATGCATGTTAGTCTTTGTTGATCCGTCAGCCTGGTCAACAAGCGAGCGCCTGCACTTCGGTCTAATCAGGGCAACCACACGGCACATCTGCTGTGGCCCGTGACCAGGCGCTGATTTGGCACCCAGGCTTGGCGAGGCGGCGAGGCTGAGCCGATCGCAAAGGTGTTGCTGGTGGCCTAAAGCCCTTTGCTTGAGAAGCCTGGTTGTCGACATGATGCAGAAGGCAAGTTGCCAGTCACATGATTTCACATCCACTGTGGAGTTGTTGTTTTCTGACTGTGTCCGACATTGTTGGATTTTGGCCTGCATTGCAGTGATCAAGACTCCCGGTGCATGCAAGCTGCAAGCATGATACAGACGTGCAGGGTGACACAAGTCTAGTCCGTCGCAAGCCGGAGACGTGAACTTGAATTACGTAGACGTAGCGTGAACTGTATTTGGCCTTGGTCTCTCATACCTCGACGAAGTGCAAGGCCAGACAACAGGGAGCTTGGATCGGCCACGGCCACGGATGCCCTCCACTGCCCCTGCCTCTGCCCCTGCATGCCCCTGCCATGGATGCGAGCTACCTGCGACGGGGTCCTCTGCTCCTCCCAAGCCAGCAGGATGCTGGAAAGATCCCCATCTTTAATTCGAGTGCCAGGCAGAGGCCCGAAATGTTTGGAGATGTTCTGCCTGCAGGCGCAAGCTGCCAGACTTTAGGTTTTGTGCTTGGCACCATATCCGTCCAGCGCCGCCGATGTTTTCGAAGGGTCTGCAGGGTCGCACGCCGCGCTGGTGGCGTGATCGACTATTACGAGGTACTCGGAGTCAGCAAGAGCGCCAACGAGCGAGAGATCAAGGCGAGCTTCAGAAAGTTGGCTCGCCAGTATCATCCAGACATCAACAAAGAGCCCGGAGCACAGGAAAAGTTCCAGCAGATTGCCAAGGCCTACGAGGTTCTTTCAGACACAGACAAGAGAAAGCAGTATAACCAGTTTGGGGATGGTGGCCTTTCTGGCATGAGTGCTGGACCTGACTTGTCCGATGTAGACCTCGATGACATTCTTGGCGATGTGTTTAGCTCGTTCTTCGGTGGCCGTCCAAACGGAGGTGTTGGAGGAACTGGGGTTGGTGGTGGAGCTGCCCGTGCGAGAAAGGGAGGTCGCACGCGAGCCCGGAGAAAAAGGGCCGAGAAGGGCTCAGACCTGCAATGTAAGGTCGAAGTTCCATTTGAGGTCGCTTGCTTTGGCGGACGTCATGTTGTACATATCAACAGAGAGGAGGCTTGCGAGGCATGCCAGGGACAAGGCATCACACCTGGTGAAGAGAAGCATCAGCAGTGCCGCAGGTGTGAGGGGTCTGGCGTTATTGCCCAATTTCTGCAGACTCCTTTGGGTGGTATGCAAACGCAACAAGTCTGTCCAAAATGCAAAGGATCCGGAATAGATCCAAGTGCAACTTGCCAGTCATGTGGTGGCAAAGGTACGAAGAGCAAACTTTGCGAAGTGGCGGTGAGTATTCCAGTTGGTTGTAACGCTGGTAGCAAGCTGCGTGTGCGAGGAGAGGGCGACAAGGGTGCCCGGGGAGGCCCACCTGGCGACTTGTACATAACACTCAAGATTGGCCAGTCCGATGAGTATGTCAGGGATGGTACAGACATTTACAACGAGCGGGTCATCAGTGTCTTCGATGCCATGCTTGGCACATCTGTTCAGATCCGCACGGTGGATGGTGAGGGCGTGTCCGTGAAGGCGTGCCTTTTGAAGACATTCATTGTGCACTGTGTGGTTCTTTGGCTTTCTTGCCAAGAGTGCCTTAGGCCTCAGGCAAATGCGACGAATCTAGAATTTTCTCGATGCGCAGGTTCCGGCAGGAACGCAGCCCGGGACAACGATGCGTTTGCAAGGACGCGGTGTCCCAAAACTCGGTCTCGAAGGAGAGCGAGGACTGGAGACCTTCAATCCAATGTCCTGATTCGCTTGATTTTTGGCCGTCTCCCTTTCCAGCTCATGTCCTTGGAATGGGGCTTGCACGTTCCGTTTCCGCAGGCGACCACTATGTGACATTGCGGGTGGAGGTCAGGCGGAGCTGTCAGAGCCTGTTCTTGCTGACATTGCGTGGCGACTCAAAAGGTGCCATACCACCTCGACGATCGCCAAAGAAAGCTAGTTTCGCGGCTCCGAGATGTGTCTTGGCAAGAGGTTTTCTTCAACATGTCTTATCCTCGTGATCGCCTTACCCCAGAGCAGACCCGAGGAATGTGGGCTCGATGGACAAGAAGAGTTCACTGGCAACGATAATGAGGTCGTTTGCTAGCCGGAAAAGGAATTTAGACCGTCCGGATCCTCCGGGAAAGCGTTCGATGAACAACTGCAAAAGAATCAGCCTGAAGACAGCAGTCGCAGGGGTAGGAAAGGAGTAATGCCAACCGCAGTGTGCTTTGTATGGACGTGCCGCCAATCAAGCATAGTCTTGCTGTGAAGCGGGCAGTGCAGCGTTTGACTGGTACCCGAGCAAGTGCAGAACACGGCGTTCGCAGCCACAGAGGTTCAATCAATCAACCAATTTTTTCATGGAAATCCTATAATCCTATATCATGTAAAGATCCCAGCGATTCGCTTCCTGCGAAAGGAGAATCAGCTTTTGGTTTGCCGTGATCTGCAGCTTCGGGCTGTGAATCTGAAAAGCCCTGTCTTTCGCGCCAACTCGCATGTGCGACGATGTGAAGTTCAGCATCGACTTTCGTTTGGCATTGAGTGGAAGATTGATCTCGAGTTTGCAGGTAGATCGGCACAGTACAATCCGACAAGTGCGAGACGAGCTTATGCAAAAAGCAGGTGGCTCCTTAACACCTCTTGGCAGGACTTGGAGCTTTTTGTACGGCGGTACACTTCTATCGGAAATGGCGACTGTCAACCAAGTACTTGTGGACCATGCTTTAATTGACGTGGTCTGTTCTGCCCAGGCCCGTGTGGTAGTCACCGCATCAAACGATTGCACAGCGATTGCATAGCACGTGCTTTTGACCTCGATACCGGAGATTGCTTGGAGCTCCAGGGTCA